CTGGGCTCGGCTCGGGGCGGCCCTTGGGCCGGGCCCGGCGGAGGGGAGCGGTGCCGGTCCCGCAGGAGCTGCCGCCGGGAGAGCCGAGTTGTGCCACGGGCTCCAGGGCCACGCTTTGCTGGCAGAGCCGTCCCTCAGCCTGTTGCTGCCCCGCGGACAGCGCGGTTTAAATGCCTTCATTTTGTGCGTGCGCCTATTGCCTGTGTGTGTTTTCCCCTCCTCGCCGGCTTTTAGCGTGGGTTTAAGGGGATTAAATCTGATGCAATCGGGGGGCTAAGAATAGCCTCGTCCACGTTCCCTTGGGTGTGCCGAGAGCTCCGGGGGGCCGCTGGCACTCGGGACAGCCGGCGGTGCCCCGGCGGGATGCGGGGATGCGCGGCTGGAGCTCGCCTCGGAATCGGGATGAGGTGCCCTAACCGGCAGGAATTGCCTCGCTTTATTTGCAGGGAGCTGTGAAGCCGAGTAATTTGCGACAGACAGCAAGTCTGAGCTTATTCTTCACTAGCTAGCTCCGCTTGTGTGTCTGGGATAATGCTCCTAGGGAGTGCTGCGTGTAAAATAAGGTTCTCCTTCACGTAGCCGAACACAGCTGTAACACTTCTGTAGTTTAATTTCAATTGTGCCAAAAATATTTTGCTTATTGTTGGATGCAGGGCTCCGATATGACCGTCTCAGTCTTCCGAAAATGATCTTATTCTCCCTAAATTTAATATTTTTTCCCTCTTTTGAATGCTGCTTGCGTTTATTTTAAGGTTTAATTCATTCTCATTCTGTCATTGCTTTTCCCACAGTTCAGTGGTTTCCCGTTTCTCACTCCGTTTCTGGAGGGGTAGAAGCCTGTGACTATCAGTGTGGAAGCAGAACACCTTTCTGTTCTTTTAATAATTTTTTTCTTTTTTTCATAAAAAGTTAGGCTTACTGCTTTGAATAATAATTGAATTAAATGTATTCCTAAGTGAATAGCTATCGAAAATGAAATTGGGGCAAGCAATGCCCTTGTAAAAAGGGTTAATTTACATTAGAATTAGAAGTTAGTGGTTGAATATGAAAGGCCTGTGCAGTTTGCTACTGTTATTACTCTCAGAAAATGCATATTTGGAGTGGAAGTGTAGTGAGCATCAGGCAGCATCATTCATCTTTGCAGATATAGTAGCATTATTAGCATCCCTCTTACCTCTGGGGCACAGTTATCTTCAATTTCCAGACACAAGTTTTATCTTCTATCAAATTCTGGCTCTGCAGTGTAGCTGGTGAGCAGCACTGTGCTGTTTATTAGGTGCCAGCCTGCCTTAAATCTCTGCTAAATGTGTGAGGGAGAGATACCTCCTGGCTCCGAGCAGGGAGTGAGAGTGAGCACCCTGTTACTTCAGATATCTTTGCCTTTGGTAGAATAGTTTTAAGGATTCATGGAGGCAGGCAGTTTGCTGACTTCATAATGTGTGTGTTCTGTTTGGTGAGGAATCTTTGTGCAGCTGTGGTGAAAATATTTTTAATGCTGGTGATGTTTCCTTCTGCTTTATTCTCTGCAGTCCAGGTGTTGTTAAGCTGGGCTCTGAATTTATAACTGATAAGAGCTTAAAGGCACCTTAGTATGTAGTTGTGGGCAGCTCTGTTCTTTTAGAGGGAGACTGAAGAGGGGAAAAGGGGTTCTTTTGATTCAGAAATCACCTTTCTTTCCTCTTTTTTATTTTTTTTTTCTTCTGTTGGATCAGGTCTTGGAGTGTAGGGTGAAGGTTTCTCTTCACGGTGCATGGACGGAAAGCCAATGCGCAGGTAAGACACAAAAACAATTATTCTTCTCTTCCCCAAATAGGATAAATCATGTGAGTTGGTTTTGTACGTGCCTGGACTGTAAAATGTTGTGTGGTTTTGGATTTTTTTAAAAAAAAGCCTGGCTATGGAGAGCTGGGAAATAAATCATTCCTTTTTAGTCCTTTCTTAAATGTATTTAGTTTTCAACATTTACAAGACCAGGTGTCTTTCAGAAAGAGTGTGGAAGACAAGCTACTGTAATTCTCCATCCCCTTTTCCACTTCCCCCGTTTGCTGTCATATTTAAAATTCAGCATTTAATTACTTAGGTATTCAAACTGTGGAAAATAAACTGCCTGGGAATAAATTTACACTTGATTTCCAAGGGGCATTATTTTTCCCTTAACGAAAGGAGTTTGGTGAGATCTTGGGTGAAAAGGAGATTTCCTTTTCTAATTATGGATGCCAGCTGCCTCAGTTCTAATGAGCTGGAGATGCAGCTGAAGTTTAATTCAGGGGAGTTCTTGCTGTGGTTGTGTCAAAAACATTCTCTCTCATATAGAGAAAAAGTTGTCACAGTAATTCAGCATGATGACAGGTTTGCAAACAGGGTTCTCTGCTAGTTCTTGTTGATTTTCTTTGCTTGATGGCAATCCCACAGCAAAATTTAACAGCAAATACATTTCTGTACATGATGCAGGCTATGTGGAAGTGAAGTTGCCTGAAGTTCTTCACCTCTAAATGAATTTGAGAGAGCTCATGCAGCTTGCTTGGTCTGTTTGTGCTCTTCGGGATGTTGAAAGGAGGAAAACTTTATTGTGGGTAAATCTGTATTCACTCATGTAAGGCAAGGCTTGTAACCATAGATGAATGTATAGAACATTTTTAGCCACAGAAACCATTAGCCTGGGTTCTGTGTAAGGAGGCAAGAAGTAGTCACTTAAACCCTTGAAGAATGGCATGATGGTGTTTTAATTAAATGGATTTTCATGAATTTAATTTGTTGTGCCGCTGCTGCAGTTCAGCAGTGAGTAAACCTGGGATGTGACAGGAGCATCACTGAGCCAGAGTATTGCCAGTTTTACCATGATAAGAAATGTGGTTTGGTCTATGAGGAGCTGTGTGTGACTTTTACAGTGAATTCCTTTTCCTCCAAGATGGATTAAATAGCAGATGAGCTCTCTTTCATCGTAGCCTTGCATGGAGATTGTTTAAATCTTAACCAACATAAACCCACAGCTTTTTAGGTTTTGATGTTGTGCTCCATTTATCAATATGTTTTGGCAGAATGACATAAAACTGGTGATTAGATTGGCTTGTGTTCTTGTTTTCTCCCTACTTTTTGTGTGTTCCTGATGGGGAAATTGATGTTCTAAACTCATTTCCATGCCTGCTGTTTTCTGCACCGAGGCAGAGAATTCACATGCTGGAGTTCCTGTGTTTGTATGTGGGTTTGTGGCCTTGGACTTGCTTTTGTGGAAGTTCTGTCTGCCACTCAGACAGTTTTAGTTTTTGTAGTGGGCAGCAGCACAGAGCTGAAGAAGTGGAGGTTTTTTATTACTGCTGCAGCCTGGCCTGACAAGCACATCTCTGCTGTGAGCTGTGGACTCCAGTTCTTGAATATACTTGCCTGTTTTAAGGGCCTCAGTGTGGGTTGTTAAAATTTCTGTTTGTTCTCCTCCTCTTGCCTGTCTTAGCAGAAAATGATAAAAGGTTCCTGATTGGATTTTGGGCACAGATCTTCCTATGAACTCCAGCTAAGCAGATGGCAGAGCACTTTCTTTTATCCTTTTACTCAGGGCTCTGAAGCCAATTTAACACCTCACAGGTGAGGGTTGTGGTAGGAAATGCACAAAGAGAGGAGTGGGGCTTGGCCAGTAGTGGGTTAATAAACACGGTGAGATGGTATCAAATGTGTATGGCATTCAGAGGGGAGGAGGAACAGCTTGAACAGACAAGGAATTCCAGCTATTCCTGTCAAGATTATAGTAGGGAACACGAATTGCTGCTGCAAACAGGATTTGCCCTGCATTAGGAATGAAGGGGTGGTTGTGGCAGGCTGTTCTTGCTCACTCTCAGGGAGAAGCAAGAGAATGTGGCTTTGCTGAAGGGAAAAACAAGGCACAGGGATCTCTCAGTGAAGGGCATGGTCCCAACAGCACCCAGACAAGGAGGGCAGAACAGATCTGATGGCCAGGGCCAGCCAGGAGTCCTGGGCTCCTCGGGCAAGTAGGGGTGAGGAAGGAAGCAGGGAAATCAGCTCAGCAGCTCAGAATGGGTAGGTGCAGTCAGGTGCAGACACATCTTTAACATAGCTCAGGCATGAGGGCTTGAGCAGCTCCCAAACCAACTGGGGAAGCTCTCCCAGCTCCTTCTCACCCAGCTTTTTCCTGGCAGCTTTTTCCCAGCTTACAGCAGTGCTGTATCAGAGCAGGCTTGAGCAGCCAGACCCGGCAGGAGGAAGGAGGCTTCAGATCCTGATGGTGCACTCAGGAGCTTATCCAACTACCTGGACATAGCTCTTGCCCAAAACAAACTACAGAAGGCTCAGGAAGGTTTTGGAAGACTCCAGGAATGAGTCAGGTTGAAACTGAGTTTTCTGGGCTTGGTTAGTAAAAATCAAACCAAGCAATGTGAATCGAGGCAAATACACCAGATCCTTGCTGTTTTCCTTTTGTGTAACGTAAAATAGTATTTCAGCCAGGTTTATCTGCTTGCTTGCATAACTTTGTTGAGATAGCTTACTGAAACCTTGCTAGCTAGGCAAGAAAATGAATCAGTGGTATTTTTCCTGATAGTCAGATTTTTAGCTAACTTAATTCCTAGAGTACTGATGCCACAATAAAGCATTTCCATTTACTTGGTTGTTGTGTTGTGGTGGTGACTTGTGTTGCCAAGGGCTGGGCCAAATCAATGGCCCTTGTTCTTGCACCTCTGTGATGAGTATAGGAATTATTTCTTAATTTCAAATCAAGGTATTGACAGAAATCACTACCCATTTGGTTTGTTATTTTTATTTGCTACTAAAATCTCTTGCTACTGAAATCCACACCAGCAATGTATGATTTTTGGGTTTCAGTTGGTGTTTTTAGCCTGAGATGTGTTTCATAAGCCTTAGGTCAGCCTGTTGTTTTCTGCTGAACTGTGTTAAAGGCCTGTTTGTAATCTTGTGCTAAAACACACATTGTCTTAAAAAAATGCAGATTTGAAACTTAAGATGCCCTTGTGACAGCATGGGAGAGGATTTTCCGTAGGTGTGTGTTATCAGGTATTTTTTTTGAACCTTTGAGGAGCTGCTGTAGGAAGGATGTCTCATAGATGCCCCTAATAATGAATGAAGTTTTGGGCCCTGGCATAGCAGGATAAAATGGAGGCAGAGCAGCCTGTTTATTTAGCTGACTTAGTGTTGCAGACTGCCTGTGTTCCCATTTGTACTTCTCAGCAGTGTGCTACAAAAACTGATCCTTTGTCAGCCCTTTCTTAATCCTATTGTATTTGCTGATTTCCCCAGCCCTGCATTTTGATGGAAGCTAATCCCAGAATATCTGCATAGCTGGGTGTGAGTGTTTTATCCCAGCACACACACATTTTCTCTGGATCCTCAGCCCTCCTTAATCACCTTGGCTATTCAGGAGCAGCTCTGAGTTCTGTGTGTGGGGAGGCAGCTCCCCTGCCATGTGAGAATCAAGTGCTGCCTTCTGTCTTTCACACCTCTAAGCTACTGACTCATCATTTCGTTCTCTGTGCATATTTATGCATAATGCACACATAATGCAGTGGAATTATGATCCTCTTGGAGACACAAGCCAGCAGACATGTCCTTTAAATTCACACTTGTGTGCCTGTGTGTAGCAGCAACCCACCGAGCTTCACATCAAGCATCTGGATTGATCCAGCTTGGAAATTCTTAAGCCAATTGATCACTGGCTTCTGCACCAGCCAGAGATAAGTTCTGGATGAATCATGAGCGCTGGTTTGGTTGTTACTCTTTATTCCATCCATTCAGTCTTTTTTAATCATTAACCAGCACTTTCTCCCCAGGAGTAAGGAGGCTGGGTACAATGCGGGCTCTCAGATAAATGCTGGTGGGAACACTGCAGGAGTGACTTCAGTTCTTGCTAACCAGACACCTTTTCAGTGAGTTAAAGATGTGTTCAGCAAGACCTCATTTGGGCAGGAAAATCCTGTTCTGTCCTGGTTAGGGAAGACAAGGGCTACTGCCTAAATCTGGCCAAGTAATCCTGTGGCATAAGATGGTACATCCCATTGTCCTGCGTTGGACATTGTCCTGCACGGAGTCTTGGGCTGTGGGATTGGCAGGAATATTGTGTATTTCTTCTGGCAGCATGGCCTTAATCCAGTCTGTCTGTGTTTAGAACTTGTGCCACCCTGGGATCTGCTTTAGGGCTGTTTTTAGTGGGAGATGTCTTTCAGGAAAACCTACAGGTGTCACAGGTTGTGTGCTTTCCAAAAGGATGCCCTGTCCTGGATGTGCACCATCTCTTCTGAGCTCTGGTTACATGAAATGGGTTATTATTTGAAGAATGCTTCTTCTGTGCTTTGACTGACAGCTTGGTCAAGACAAACTGCCCAGAACTGTAGTAGCATGTGTCTTAAAAGAGCTCTTACTGTGTTCTTTTTTTTCTTTCCAAGGGTTGGTTTGACACAGTTCAAAACACTTAATGCACAATAAAATCGACTTAGCTTGCTTAGCAAGAGCCAAACTCTGCAGGGGAATGTTTGTCACCACCTTTCTCCATCCTTTAGTAGAGGGATTAAATTACTTACCTTCTGGCCTTGGCTGCTAAGGACTATGAAAATAAGCCAATTAGGTAAATTAATCTTCAGCCAAGGTTTCTTAGGGTTTTTGTAGGGGTACCATTAATTGTGGTTTGTGTGTATTGCTGCAAGGGGAGTTTAGTTTATGCAAGGAACTTGGCAGAGCTTTGAGAAGGATTGTCAAACCCCCCAAAGGTGAATTTGGGTTGTGAGGGACAGGAGTGGGTGGAGGGGAGTGAGAGGCAGTGGAACAGCAGAAGGATTTGTCAGAGGTGTCAGGAAAGGAGAACGGTGATGGATGTAAAAAAGATGGAGCAGGGACAAAAACCCAAGGCATTTAAGGTGCAGAGGCTGAGCAGGAGCAAGCAGCAAAACCCAGAGGGGAGCCCCAGCTGGATCTGTGTAGCTAAGATAGGAGGAAGAAGTAATGGTCTAAAACATCTGAATATGATGATCAAGGAGAGGGTGTGGAGGGAATGGGAAAACAGGCTAAGGTGCAAGTGAATAATTTGAATTGCTGCAAAGAGACTGGTTTCTCAGTGCTTAGAAAGTGCATTTGACATAATAATGAGAGGAAAAGATGTGAGGTTTTTTTATTCCTTTCCTTCAAGCCTGCTGCAAATTGCATTGAGCCGTGGCAAAGCCAAGCTTAATTTCTTTTTAACTCTTAATATGAACAGAGTGACAGCTCACAAATGCCAGTGCATTGGAGAAAAACTGGTAGTGGCCAGCATGTTTTGGGTTTTCCAGTACCTTTCCAGTGGCTATAAACCATCAATATTCTGATCTTTTCCTCAATGTTCTTTAATTGCTCTAAGTGATAGTTTACCTTTGATGTGGGAAGAGGCAGCAGTGTCATGGTTTTTCTTTAATTACATGTGGAACTGGGAAGATACTGTGTTTCCTCTCTGTGCCAGTAATTTAGTTTATGTATTCTAAAGTTATTCTTCTCCTCTAAAGTTACCATCCTGACTTTCTGTTCCTCATTTTTTTTGGTAGGTTGATAGTGGTGGAGACTTGTTTTATCTTTTTCCTGTTTGATTTGATTTGGTTTTGCCTGCCTTCCGCCATTCTTGGGGAAGATTAACCTTCTTTTGACACGTGCCAGGGAGGGTGGATTGAGTCAGGAGCCTCCATAACTCAAAAATAATTGAAGAGGTGATGATTAAAATGGGTGTTCTGTGAACCTGAAGGATGCTGAAGGCCATCTCGAGCTCCTGAAGTCTGTGTGACACTTTAGTGTGTTCAGACACTACAGTGATGAGTGACCCCATTAAAAACTCAGGTAGAAGAGCAGGGAAGTTTGGTTAAATCACGGAGCTGGAACTCTTTGCAATGGGAATCCATCTCCAGCTCTGTCAAAGAAAACTCCAGTGCTTGACAGCAGGTAAGTCAGCTAATCTGTGCTTTGAGTCACTCTGTGAAATGGGGATAATGTGCCTTTGCCACACGAGGCTACGGCGAGGTTCAGCTCATAAATATGTATGCGTAGCTGGATATTACAGCCGTGTGTCATAGAAAGCGTATAAAAATAGCAATAAATAGAAGCCTGCTGCAAGTTGGCATTTGTTTACTTCTAAGCAAGCTTTGCTTGGAGATGGATTCCTCTTTCATGTGGTCACGTGCTTGTTTTCACGTCCTGGCGTGGACTTGCGGGCACCGCTCGGCGCGAGCTGCGGAGCTTTGGAGCGCAGCTGGCTTTGGGATCCCCTGACCATGGTGGTGTATTTTTATCTCCTGCGCTGCAGGTGTGCCAGCACTCGCCCAGGAGAGACCGGAATGGACGTGACCAGCCGCTGCACCCTCGGAGACCCCAACAAGCTGCCCGAAGGGGTGCCGCAGCCCGCGCGCATGCCCTACATCTCCGACAAGCACCCCCGGCAGACCCTGGAGGTCATCAACCTGCTGCGGAAGCACCGGGAGCTCTGCGATGTGGTGCTGGTAGTGGGGGCCAAGAAGATCTACGCCCACAGGGTGATCCTGTCGGCCTGCAGCCCCTACTTCCGAGCCATGTTCACCGGGGAGCTGGCGGAGTCGCGGCAGACGGAGGTCGTGATCAGGGACATCGACGAGCGGGCCATGGAGCTGCTCATCGACTTCGCCTACACCTCGCAGATCACTGTGGAAGAGGGAAATGTCCAGACCTTGCTGCCAGCTGCTTGCCTTCTCCAGCTGGCCGAGATCCAGGAGGCCTGCTGCGAGTTCCTCAAGAGACAGTTGGACCCTTCCAATTGCCTGGGTATCCGGGCTTTTGCTGACACTCACTCGTGCCGGGAACTGCTGAGGATTGCCGACAAATTCACACAGCACAACTTCCAGGAGGTAAGGAGCTGTTGTGCTTGAATTGTGATGGAAAATGCGTCAACGTGACCTGTGAGAGCTTTCAGCAACTCTCCTTTTGGTCCTTTTTTCCAAATCCTGCCTTTACACACCTGCTCTGTGCCCTGATGGTGATGGGCACCAGATGTTAAGTGGGGAAGAAAGAGATGGCAGGACTGTGTTGTACCGGTGGTTTGTATGTGATCCACAGCATTTCTTCTCTGAAAGATGTGTGGTGAGCGCTATGTGGGAGGCAAGGTCGTGGGCACAGGTGTATTTGGCATTGCATCTGTCTTGCCCGCACAATGGTCTGATACTCCACTCCTCTTTCAGAAATATTCTGGATTCTACATGGTTGGAGGGGAGGCAGGTGTTAAAAAGTAAGGACAACACATCAATAGAACCCAAAATATTTGATGTTGAGCTCTGGGATTGGGTGTTTGGGGGAGCGTGAGCCTGCCTCAGGGGAGTCTTCAAATCCCTTGTTGTAGCAGAACTAGAGTTTTGCATCTATTATTCAGCAGAAGCTGTCTGAAAATAATTCAGATGTGTAATATTGTAGCTGACCTTTATAAAGTTTCTCTCCTTTGTTAATTCTGCCTAGATGATTTTTTGGCGGAAAAAAAAAAGCCAGCAGCTGGTTCAGAGAAGGATCAACATAATAATTAAGGATTGTGTGAGCAATAGTCAGAGAAGAGTGGGTCTTTACTGAACTGCTGCAGAAAAATCTCCTCTTCCCACCAGCTTCACAGGGAAATCCTTTCCAAAGGGAGGAACTCCAGGAACTCCTGGTGCTAATTTAGTTTCCCCAGAGAAGCAGCAGCATGGAAGTGCTGTGAGTGATGGCAGCTTGTCTCTTTTCGTGTTTTTTTTTCTTTTTTTCTGACATGCAAGAAGCAGATTTAAATTGGATTAATTTCAGTCAGGCAGTACTTGAGAAAAATCTGAGTGGGAGCAGCACAGCAGAACACGGCTTGGACACAGTGAAGGCAATTCTTGGTATCTAACTATGGACACATCAGTTTACTCCAAAAGCTGCAATTAAATATATATTTTCTAACCAAATAGAATTTGCTGTTTAAAATGAGTTTGTTTTTCACAGAACTTGGTGGTTTCCCAGACTCCTACATTTTAGCTGGCCACTTCATGTGGCTCTGTGCTTGCTCTGCACATCTTTTCTTCTGGGTTTTTTTTCTCTTTTTTTTGGGATGGGGAGAGCAAGATGCTATCCAGATGGTTGTTTATTTTCAGTCCTTGGTTGTTTTACTGGTTATTTGATCTTGTTATTACAGGAGTAGGGCATGGTTACAAGCCTCTAAATAACATTTTAGCAGCTTGACAGTTTCGTTTTAAAATGTTTTAGCACTAATACATGCAGCTGGCTGTTAAGAGCTGCTTGCTATGGGCTTCTTTTCTTTTGCAGCCCCTTGAAGACAACTTTCTGTCCTCCTTATCCCTGTTAAAGCATGTGAAGGCAGAAGAGAAAAGAACACTCTTCCTCGAAGATGATGCAAATTATAATTGACTTAACTTAAACACAGCCTCTGGAAAACAGAGGCTTAGATTAGAGCACTACTCCTTTGGCCTGGGCAGGTTTTGGTGTCCATTTCAATGCCCCAGGAGTTCTGCAGCTCTTCATCCTTAATAATCACTTTTTTTGCTTCCACTGTTTCTCTGCAGACAACGTCAGTGGTGCTGCTCCTTGGGATTGTATTCCACTCTGGCAGTATTTGCCATCTGGAGAGTGGATTGGTGATCACTGGGGGAAGCCAGGCACTTGTCTATTTAACCTTTCTCCACTTTGGAGGTTGAAAACTGATAAAAAATTTGCCTTCCTATGCAGAGGCTGTGTGGTCATTGCTCCTCCAAGCTTCCAGAAGGGAACATGAGCTGGGAATTTCCTGGATGGCAACGTGAAATATTAAGCAGCAGGCACCAGGCCAACCCATGCAGTTACTTTGAATGCAGTTTGAATTGCTCCATGTCCTCTGCTGTGCTAACCTCTGCTTCTAGTCAATTTTATGTGTACTGCTGCATTACATCATTAACTTCTTGGTAAAATGTTTTTCAATTTTTTTTTCCATTCCTCCCAATTTAATTTGCTGCCTATAACCCCTCGTGGATTTTGTGCATATAATGTGAAATGGTTCTATTAACAATTCCACTGTAGAAGAACAGCCTTTGTATTTTTATTTTTTTATTTTTTTGTCTCTTAACATTTGTGTGACGGGATAAATTATATTTATGCACGGACGACTTGTGCTTTTATCAACAGACAAAAATTGCTCTCCATACTGTATAGTCTGACATGAATTCTCTCTGTTTGTAAAAGCACTGATGTACAGGAATCCTGCAGAGGAAATGAAGTCCAGCCAATTCTTGTCCACTAAGCAAGTCAGTCGAATAGACCATTAATATTAGTCAGGTAATTATGAGTGTCCTGATAATTAAGCCAAATTAAGCCAAAGCATTTAAAATAATAATTTGTTTTACTATGTAAACTAACAAGTTGCACAGTAGTAATAATTTGCTTTAAAGAAGTGCTTTGAGTGCTTTGAATTTTGTGAGGCCATCAATGCAACTGATTGTCCTGAGGGTCAAAGGGAGAGACTGGATGAGCATCTTTAGCTCAAGAATTTCCACAGCTGCTGGTTTCAGACTCTGAAGCTGCATTTAAAAGCTATCAGACTAAAGTTTACACATATGCTTTGAAGGAGGAAGGGAGACTGTGGAAAAAAAAGCTGATAAAGATCTTTAATGACCAACCCAGTTCCTGCTTAAAGGCTGAAGGAGTGTGTGGGTCAGCCTTGTTGTGGCCTTTACTGTCCCCAAAAGTTGAGTGTACCCAAGAACCAAGTCTGGTAACTGATCTCATTGTCCTCTCTGTTCTTTTTCTACAATATTTTCTGTTGTCAGTAACTTGGCAATCCCTGCATATTTGTTCAGTGCCTTTAAATAACTTCTTCAGGTAATTAAAAGGACTGCACAGCTGACTGCTGTTGAGATGATCACGTCAAAAGAGTGTTTTTCTTTAATTTATGCAGCAAATTGTGAAATAAGTCGTGGAATTCTAGTGTGGTCGCAGATGATAAGGACAAGCCAGCTTTCAGTTGTTTTCAATCCTTGAACCTTTTGGAAATTGCAGGCTACAGACTAGGAATGCTTTCAGGGAAGGCAAGCTGGCAGTTATCAATCAGGCCATTTCTCCAGTTTTAATTTTGATTCTTGCACCTTTCCCATCTGCCTGGTGTGTGTGCAGGAGCTGTGGTGGTGTGTGAGCTCCCAGGGCAGTCTGACTGACTCATGCTGTGTGAGCAGTCCTCCAGCAGCAGCCAAGGCCTCCTGAGAAACTTGGTTGCTATCTTGGATGCTGAAGGAATTAATGTGTTTGTCAGTGGCTTGACTTTCACAAGAGATCAGTCCTTAGGGGCTCTGAGGCTCTGGTTCCCTCTTTAGTGCATCTCGACTACTGCACACTCCATGTGTATATTTAGAGCAAATGGAAGAGGCAGGATCAGATGAGTCTCCTGAAATATTTTCTGTTCTGCCACAAATCAGGCTTTCTGTGTTCCCTGCAATGCCTCTGGTAACTTGTTTCAGACTCTTATTTTTGCACTCTGTTTTGCTTTCCTCGTGAATCTCTGCACTCCAGTGCCTCTTTGTAGTCACGTATTTATTGCGGTTTTATTTCTGCTTTATGTATTAGACACAGCAAACAAGGAGACTGATTTTAAACAAAGGCTTTGTTTTTCCTGGATTTTGAAACCTGATCAGTGCCTTCAGTGGTTTAACCCTTTAAAAGTGTTAAAGGGTGTAAAAGGCATGCCCATCTAGAAGTGTCTTCTTACGTTGCTGGATGCTGCGTGCAGCAAACCCTTCACATCTGTTGGCGTTGGAGCTGATGAGGATTTGGCTTTTTACTGGGTCAGTCCATGAGGTGCTGGAGTAGTGAATGGCTCTGATGCTTTGTCCTCACTCCCTTCCTTTTTCCTCTGCCTTTCCCAGGTGATGGAGAGCGAGGAGTTCATGCTGCTTCCTGCCAACCAGCTCATAGACATCATATCCAGTGACGAGTTAAACGTGCGCAGCGAAGAGCAGGTGTTCAACGCCGTGATGGCCTGGGTCAAGTACAGCATCCAGGAGAGGAGACCCCAGCTGCCACAGGTAATCTTAGCCACAGTGACATTCCAGGCTGCTTTATCCACAGGGAGAGGAGTGAGGGATGGTAGGGTGGTGCCAGAGCGCTTCTGAATGACGTAAAGCCACCAAAATTCTCTCTGACTCCCACCTGTGTTAGGTGGCTTGCACTGTCCCTTCATCTAGGCTGGAAGCTGTACTGGCTAGAACCTTCATTAGGGGCTTTGCTGGATTTTTCCCAGCTAGGACTTGCCAAACGAGCTCACTCCAGCAGTCTGTCCAGACAAACCTGCCTGCACTGCTTGGAGAGTCGTATCAAAACCACAGTGGAGAAGAAAAGGCTTGTCTTGCTTTGCGGTGCTTCTTTGAGCTCTGCTGCTTGATTTGTGCCTCAGCCCTCACGATGTTACAGAGGAGCTTGTCAGAATGGTTTTGTTGGAATGTGATGCCTCATCTAAGCCAAGGCATTTCACAGAGCAGAACCCATTCTGACAAAGCTGTCAGCCCAAAGCTTCTGAAGTCTCAGGCTGGCTGATCAAAAGAGGTGAGCATCTGCCTGCCTCGCTGTTTCTGCTTTGGAAAGAGACATTAAATGCAACTTTATTTACTGGAAAGCTTTTGAAAATGGTTTTAAGTAAACAAACCAAACTGGAAAAAGCTGCTCTTCTCAAGGCAGCTTTTAATGCTTTTATAACTGTCTGCCTCTGTCTGTACATGCTTGGGCCTTCAAATTCTAAACCCTTGTGAAAGACATGTTATTTCTTATTGTTCATCCACTCTGCAATGCCACTCAGGTTTAAGAGAGGTTGATAAAACCACTAACTTAATTACTCTTCAGGCAGATGTCTTGACATCTTGTCATTTTCTAAAGGTTTCTAGCTGTGACCTTGTTTTCAGCTGTTAATGGATCCAGTGGATTGTCCCTTTCTGAACACTGATTTTCTGCTGGGTGTCTAAACTGGAATATTGAAAAGGCAAACGTGCTGGGAGACAAGCTACATTTAACTAAAATTCTGCTGCTTTCCATGTGGCTTCTGGCATCTCTCTGGGTATCTGTGGTTTCACCATAGCTATTCTGGTTTGTGTTTTAGGTCCTGCAGCACGTCCGCCTGCCCCTGCTGAGTCCCAAGTTTCTTGTGGGTACAGTGGGTTCTGATCCACTCATTAAGAGCGATGAGGAATGCAGGTAAATCTCCTCAGCCATTTACAGAATTGGATTATGTTGTCCTCTGAAGCTGTGCTCATTTGTCACTGGTAAATGGGTGATGCTTCACAATTTCATCTTTGGCAGCTGGGAGGATAGGAGAAGCAAGAAAAATAGTTTTCTGTTTGCATAATAGTCACTGGTGTGCCCTAGAAGTTGTTTTGTTCTTTCAAGTTTCCAGTGAAAAAGCAGACTTCGAGTGTGAAGTTTGACTGTTGGTAAAAGACCTTTCAGTATACTGATTTTCATTTTGCCTTTCTTTTCCCCCTCTCTAGTCATGGCCTTTTATTACAGCTTAGCACTTGCATGGCTTTCATGATGATCTCAGTGGGACCCAAAGTAGTTTTTCTGTGTAGAATGTCTGCACTTTGATAACTGTATTGGACACTGGGAATAGAGTCTGTTCTTTCCCACAAGGATAATGCAGGGAAGTTGTCATTTCCTCCTCCCATGAGTCTCACCTTTCTGGTTCTACAGAGTTCTGTATCACCCACGAAGCACATGGTTTATCTTGTGCATATGGTAAAGAAGACCAGGGCATAGGCTAAATTGTTCTCTTCTTGAATAAGCATTCATACTGGGGGAATTCTACATCTGTAGAGGGAAGGAGGACTTTTTTGTTCTTTTTTGTTTTATTCAAGGGTTTGGAATATTAGGATTAGTCCAGGTGGCAAGTTATGAATGGATGGACAGTGTGAGCTGGCCAGAGCTGATGGAGAAAATATTCATCAGAAGGGTACTATCTCCATCTATTGGTCATGTGTGTATTATGTATTTGTGTGCTTTCCAACTCCTGTTCTCTTCTGAGGCAAAACCACTGACTGTTAAGTTTTAGCTTGAGGCAGGCTGGGTTTTTCTTTTCTGCACAGTAAGCCTGACAAATCTCTCGTCATAGATTTTTTTTTTATCAATCTTTTTATAGCAAGCTATATCTATTATTAACTCTGGCCAAGCACTGGTGCTGGTTTGCTGCTGTCACTGTGTCAGTGGCTTTTAAACAACCGATGAGTATTTGGGTGACAGAGTGCATTTAACCAGAGCTGTTCAAGCTCTTCTTGTGTAACTTGTGAATACCTGAGGTGCATGACTAGTGCTGGCTGCTCTTCCCATCAGTTCTGATTCGCCCCTTCTCCAGAGACTGAGCTCTGGGGGTTAATATTTTCCTGTCTTGCACAGGGATCTGGTGGATGAAGCCAAAAACTACCTGCTGCTGCCCCAAGAGCGGCCGCTGATGCAGGGACCACACTGAGAGAAGAGAGCTCATCATGGTTTGAAGCTTCCTCTTGAGGGGAAGAGGAGGGGCAGGCGCTGATCTCGGCTCTCTGGTAACCAGCAATAGAACCTGAGGGAATGGCCTGGAGCTGTGTCAGGGGAGGCTTAAACTGGTTATTAGATAAAGGTTCTTTGCCACAGTAGAGTCTGGCACTGGAACTGACTCTCCCAGGCAGTGGTCACAGCACCAGGCCTGACAGAGCTCCAGAAGCGTTTGGACAGCACTCCCAGACACGTGGTGGGATTCTTGGGGCTATCCTGTGCAGGGCCAGGAGTTGGACTTTGATCCCTCCAACTCAGGATGTTCTGATTCTGATGTATTTTTCCCTGCTGGCTTAAGCCAGGAGACCCCAGGCAGGATTTTCTGGTGGTGTTGTTCCCATAAAGTCTTCACAGCCTATTTCTGATGTGACCTGTGCATTCATATTTGAAAGCTTGAGTTAAATTATGCTTTCTTGCTCATGTGATTCCTTTGGTGCTGTGAGTGCCGCAGCATTTCCAAACTTCAGTTCATTCTCTTGAAAATCTCACTCTATTTTGGCATTACAAACCTCAGAGGGAGTGACTTAGAGACGAGTCTGAAGGGGTGATTTGTGCCAGGGGCACAGGCAGTTTGTGAGTGTTGTTGTGACCGTGTTCTTGGTGTTTGGCTTGCAGTGGGGGGCTGGTGCAGCGGGGACGCGATTTCCAGCGTGGAGCGCTACGACCCCCAGACCAACGAGTGGAGGATGGTGGCTTCCATGAGCAAGAGGCGCTGTGGCGTCGGGGTCAGCGTCCTGGATGACCTCCTCTATGCTGTGGGAGGCCACGACGGCTCCTCTTATCTTAACAGCGTGGAAAGGTAGGTCTCCATAAGGCTCCCTGTGCAGAGTTTCAGCTCTGAATGTTTAAACCTGGGTGCAGCCTCTTAAGAACGAGTTCATTTTGCCGAGTGTGTTCTCATTTCCTCCTGCCTTGCACACCCCTGGTGCAGAACACTTTGTGTCACATTATCCCAGCTTAATGGGACGAGCCAAAGCCTCTGGATAAGGAAGGAATCTCTAGGAGATGGGTCTGGGTGTGTTGTTGGAAGGAGTGGTGATCCTGGTTAACCTTCCTTCCAATTGCGGGTTTGTTTTTAGCCTTGTAGAGGAAGGTGAGGTTACAATGAGCATTTCTTAGATGCTGAGGGAAAGATCCTGGAATTTTATTGTGAAGTGGCAACTCGAGAATTAAGAATCCTTGGCACATAGAAGAATTAAAATGGGTCAGTTTTCGGCTTTTGAAAGATGAAAGTCAAACAAGTTTTACCAAGCTTCCTGTTTCTGGGAGCTGCATAGGACAATTCCTATGCCTGAAAGCCACATGACTCAAGCTCTCCTACTACTCCTAATCTTGGCCCTGTAACAAACCCAATGAGCTGTGCAAATATCTTCTCCCACCTTGAGCCTCCCCTTCTTTCCACCTATCTCCTTGAATGCTCCCAACTTCCCAAATCATGACCCCTAGTGTTGTAGCTCCCACGTCCTGCACTTCCTTGCTATGCACTGTATTTCTTTGTCTCTGCATTCTCAAGTCCATCTTGTTCCTTCTTATTTTATCTGGAAGTCCCAGTGCTGGCTGAGTTCCTGTGTGAACTGCAGGGAACAGAGCAGAGTTAACTCTGGCTGCTGCTCTTTGCTGCAAGTTACCACACGCCAGCCAGTCTCTCTCAGGAACCAGAGCCTTTGATCTTCAGCTTGATTCATCCCAACCTGCAGTTTGAACATCCCTGGAATAACACGTGCTGGATGCATTGTATCACTTCAGGGCTTTTATCCAGCTTACAAAGAGCTGTGTTGCAGTTGGAGCTCAGGATAGGCAAGTTTCACAGCCTTAGTACAGCTCCCAAGCATGGGAGAGTCTGAAGCAGACCTAAGCAGGTAATTTGTGCTTTTTGGTGTGTTTTTTCCCAGGTATGATCCAAAGACCAATCAGTGGAGCAGTGATGTGGCTCCCACCAGCACCTGCAGGACCAGTGTTGGAGTAGCAGTTCTTGGAGGTTACCTCTATGCTGTGGGTGGCCAGGATGGTGTCTCTTGTCTCAACATTGTGGAGAGGTACATATTAATTACAAAAAAGCCAAAGAAGAGTGGGGCACAGCAAGAAAAAGGCTCTCTTTTAGAGGGTGCAGCTGATGCAGACGAGCTGGAGAGGAGATAGGGATTTTTGTTTGTGGAGAATAAAGTCAGTCTTCCTGCCCCTTTGTGAAGATGTCAGCACTTCACTCAGCTCTGGTGTTTGTTCTTTTGCCAGGTATGATCCCAAAGAAAACAAATGGACTCGAGTGGCTTCCATGAGCACCAGGCGCCTGGGAGTGGCGGTGGCTGTGCTGGGAGGCTTCCTCTATGCTGTGGGAGGCTCTGATGGAACATCTCCTCTCAATACTGGTATGCCTTTTGCTGTCCCTTAAAATCCCAGTCAGGGCTTGTCCTGGGAGCCCATCATGTCCCCAGATGGCTGTTGAATATCTTAGTGATCAGTTTGTGGAGCTTTTTCTTCTTTAAATATTGTTTTTCCATACAATAACTCACTCTCCAGACTTGTGAGCCCCTGTTACCTGGTTGTGTGTCATATTTTTAGTTTCTCAGTGCTTCATTTGGCAGTATGCCCTGAATGCAAGGACATCCTGAATACAAGCTTGTTTGCATAGCAGTTGCAAGCACTTTTTTATTTTTTGTAAATTCCTACAGCAGTCACTTTTGCTGTAGAAATCACAGAATCACAAGGTTGGAAGAGACCTCCAAGGTCATCAAGTCCAACCCAGCCCTAACACCTCAACTAAATCATGGCACCAAGTGCCACATCCAGAGATGGTGACTCCACCACCTCCCCAGGCAGACCATTCAAGTACTTTATCACCCTTTCTGTAAAAAAGTTTTTCTTAATATCCAACTTGTATTTCCCTTGGCACAGCTTCAGACTGTGTCCTCCAGTTCTGTCAGCTGCTGCCTGGAGAAAGAGACCGACCCCACCTGACTACAACCACCTTTCAGGGAGTTGTAGAGAGTGATAAGGTCACCCCTGAGTCTCCTTTTCTCCAGGCTAGACAACCCCAGCCCCCTCAGTTGCTCCTCACAGGGCTTGTGTTCCCCTCACAAGCCTTGTTGCCTCCTCTGGACACACTCAAGCACCTCAATGTCCTTCCTAAACTGAGTGGTACAGAACTGGACTCAGAACTCGAGGTGTGCCCTCACCAGTGCTGAATACAGGGGAAGAACAACCTCCCTGCTCCTGCTGGCCACACCATTCCTGATCCAGGCCAGGGGCCATTAGCCTCCTTGGCCACCAGGGCACACTGCTGGCTCACTGTTCAGCCGGCTGGTGACCAGGAAGGAAGGTGCCAAAGGTAAAACTGCTGCAGTTCAGTTTGTAGCACTGCCAGATCCCTCTCGAGTGAAGATCTGAGTGTGGTTGATGCCAGAGACAGGAGAGAGACTAGCAAGAGTTCTTTGGAAGAAAAGAGAGAACAAACAGATTTATGGCATTTTTGGTGTGTACAAATTGAGCCCAAAAGTTCTCTGTCTGCCAGCCCTGCTGACCAAAGACTTTCCCTTCCTCTGCAGTGGAACGCTACAACCCCCAGGAGAACCGCTGGCACACGATAGCCCCCATGGGCACGAGGAGGAAGCACCTGGGCTGTGCTGTGTACCAGGACATGATCTACGCCGTGGGAGGCAGGGATGACACCACAGAGCTCAGCAGTGCCGAGAGGTACAACCCACGCACCAACCAGTGGTCTCCGGTGGTGGCCATGACGTCCCGGCGGAGCGGGGTGAGTGCGGCTTGGTGGGCTCGTCCACCAAGGGATGTGGGGCTGGGAACACCGGGATGAGGGTGGGGACCCTTCCAGTGCCACCACCGGCACCCCCTGGGAATGTTCCCGTCCACCAGGATGTGGGGCTGGAACCCTTGGGAATGCTGGGATTGAGGGCAGAACCCCTGGGATCACTTCTGTGGGGCTGGGATTGGGGTCAGGACACTTGGGATGGGGTCAGGATGCTCAGGATTGGAGTCAGAACCCCCAGAATTGCTTCTGTGGGGCTGGGATTGGGGTCAGGACCCCCAGGATTGGGTCAAGACCTTCAGGATTGGGATCAGAACCCCTGGGATCACTTCTGTGGGGCCGGGATTGGGGTAAGGACACTTGGCATGGGGTCAAGATGCTCAGGATAGGGGCCAGGACCCCTGGGAAATGCATCTGTCCCCCAGGATTGGGGTCAGGATCCCTGGTATGGGGTTGGGACAGAGGTCCAACCCAAGTCACAGCCCTTTTGGTTCCATAGCCATTCCCTGGGAATGCTACTGGGATTTGGGATGGCTCCTGTCCCCTCTGGGATGGCTCCTGTCCCCAGGCCATCCCCCATGTCCCTCGGGCTCATCCCCCATGTCCCTCGGGCTCACCCCTCTGTCCTTGTGTCATGTCCAGGCACTGCTCCAGTGCCACCCCCGCTTCCCTTTGTCACCAAGTGGGGACAGCCTGGGGCAGAGTGTCAGTCTGCTTGTGGGGAGGGCACAGGGCAGGGTGTCATTGTCACTCTGCTTGTGGGGAGGGCACACAACTGTGTCAAAAAAAAAGTGTCAGCCTTCTCACGGGGCTCTCCTGCTTCCTCTGCATCTTCACCTCTTTTCTTTGAGGGAAAAGGTTTGCAGAAAAGCTCTCTAGGAGGGCTACAGGGTGAAGAGATAGCCAAGTCACGCCACAAACAGCTGTTTAGGATGGGGAAATGAGTCATTTGAGGGTGTTTTTAAATATTTTTGGGCCCTTATATGTGGTCAACTAAGCTTGAAGCAGAGGAGCTTTTAGGTGACATAGCTGTACTTGGTATGAGATACCACTGAAGGACGCTATCAAATTAGTACCTGGATCTCTCTGGATGAATAAGGAGGTGAAAACACCCACTTGCTTGGAGGAAAAAGCTGGGAAATTGGGTTAGCACGTGTTTAGATACATATTCCCAGCAGACTCTCCTTGCCTGGAGGCGTGTGTGGGAACAGGGTTCCTGGGCTTTCACTGAGGCTGTTGCCTCTCCTGACTGAATCCTGTGACAGCATGTTCCCAGCAGCTGCTGATGGTGGTGCTTTCTTGTGAACAATCGATTACTGCAGTGTTTTCCGTAGTCATCATGGTTGGGGAGATGCAAGTGATGTGAATGTTTATAATTAGATACTGGATTATGTAGTGAAGAGAGGGTTAGTGCTGTCTGTGTGTTAGTGTTCCAGTGTCTGCTGAGGCAAGGATGAATCACAGTTTGAGCAACCACTGGTTTTGGAGGCAGCGAGCACATATTCATTTCTGTTCTCCACGCACAGAGTGAGCTGTCCAACACTGTCCACTTTAGTTTCTCATTAGACATTGACTTTTTGTCAGCTGCTTCTGTTTTTGCTTTCTATGGAAACTGCTGAACACCTGCAGCTGTACCTGCAGCTCTTCTGACTTCCTCAAAGCCAAAACAGGGGAACATTTTGCAGTGTGTACCTTCTCTTTTCTCTGTTATACTCCACGTTTTCCACTGGAAGTGATCATGTGTTTGATGTTTCAGTGATTTTGTGCTTCTGCAGAAAGGCTAAATAGAAAATCTGGAGGCTGCTTACAGATGGTCCAAGCCCCAGTCTGAGAGGTTTGGGATCAGGGGCTTACCTGTGGTTCTGCTACTTTAACCAAGTGTTGTGGGCTGGTAGATATTCTGCTTGGGGAAGGATTTCAGTCCAGAACGTAATTTTTTTATGAAAAAGGTTTGGACTCTCATGTATTTATCATCATTCAGATGGTACTACTTCTTGTAGCTGGCAATAAAGGAAACCTTTTGCTTCTTCTTTGAGAGATTCTGTATTCTGAGATACACATTTAACTTTCCATGTCTCATTTTTTTGGGTATTTCATTTGTGCCTAAAGGAAAAAGAACCCAACCCTCTCCTGTAGACTGCCTATCACCAAGCATGGTTATGAAATAGTTTTATTAATATTTTCATTTTAACCCTTCATTTCAGGACATCCCAGCTAAGTAGCTGCTGTCTGATGGCTGTTTTGCAGGTTGGCCTGGCCGTGGTGAATGGACAGCTGATGGCAGTGGGGGGTTTTGATGGCACAACGTACCTGAAGACCATTGAGGTGTTTGATCCAGATGCTAACACGTGGAGGTAACTTGAATTTGGATGACAGTCAGACAGTGAAATCCAGCTGGAGCTGTCCCAGGCAAATTAGGAGTGTGGTACACACCATAACAGAGAACTTGAGTGGGGTAGAAGCATCACAATGCTCCCATTCTGGTTTCTTGCCTTGCAAAAAAGAATCACATTTTGAAAAATATCCCAGTTTGCCCCTTCTGTTCATTCTGGGCTGAGTCTCTCCTGCTTCCCTGAGCTTGTCCTTAGCAAAAGGAGCTCACAGCCCCCATGTAGAATTTGGCCTGTTCACTTCTTGCTTCCAAGCTGAGGCAGTGATTTCTGAATCCTTTTGAAGGAGCTGAAACACTTCAAGCACATGATGTTACTCCCTTTTAAATCAGCAAGATTCAGCCACTGGAAGAATGTCCAAGCTGAGACAAATAATAGGAAATTGCTGATCAAAATTAACCCTTTATATATAAGGATCTTTTGAACTGTTGAGGAGAGAGTAGTACATACATCAGATTCCTTAGTGGAATGGTTTCAGCTACTCCCTGTGACAGTCTATTTGTGCAGCTTGACTGAGAAACGATTCTGATGCAATTTGGCTTTAACAAAGCTGTTGGGAGAACTTGCTTCTCCTGTTCCTGCCAGCAGACTCCAGTGGCACAGAGGGGAATATGCAGCTGGAGTGTGTAGGGATCTGATATCCCAATGAAATGCAGACACCATTGCAGTCAACAGATGGTGCTTGGGATGTGTTATATCTTGGTTGCATCAGCTGAATGTAGGGGTTTAGAAATATAAATTAAATTAGTTGAATTGTGAGGACTAAGCCTAGTCCTGTGTTACCCAAAACATAGCCTAAGGTCAGCTACAGCCTACAGAGTTCTTCTATCTTGCACATTACCAGACAGGGAGCAGGAAGTATTTATTTGACAGAAATTTGGTGTCAAAACAAGCAGCAGTTGCTGTTCTGAGAGAGAAGGGCACGAGCAAGTACAGCTGTTTACTTTCAAAGTGTGAAAGATGCGTGCTCCACAACTACTTCTTCTTCACAGCCCACTTCAAGCAGACATTAATGATGGTAACACGGTTCAGCCTTCCCCATGGCAGCTCCCAAGGGTTGGTGATCCCATGGGGGATGTGAGCCAGCGTGTGAATGGAATTTTGTCTCCGCAGGTTGTACGGCGGGATGAATTACCGGCGGCTGGGCGGAGGCGTGGGGGTTATCAAAATGACACACTGTGAATCTCATATATGGTAAGCTTCCAGAGGGAGGGAGTCCCCTGCCTTCTCATTCCTAGAAAAAACTGAAGAGACTTGTTGACACTGGACCTCTTTGCAGCTCTAGTATGCACGGTCTAGATCCAATGTAACTCTTTGCCGGTGAACTCTTTCTATGGAATTATAAAAATTGACTTCTGTGAGAGTGTGCCCAGCGGGAGACCACGGTGTCAGACTCCAGGGAACCACTGGACAAAAGTAGAAGTGTTGCTTATGTCCGTATTTTTTCTAAATAGTTCTACATTTTTTGAATAAACCAAACTGTAACAGTTATTGTAGCGTAAAGGATGCTGATGTAGAGCCTACACTCTGTACTGGGAGTCTGGCCAGGAGGAGGGATTCCTGCTTTCCCTCCTGCTGTGGGAGCAGTGGATACGGCAGCTGTTTGGTGGGTGAAAGAGAAAAAGTGATACAGAAAACATTGCTTTTGCCTTATTTACAGAGAGCTTCAAAAAAAAAAAAGTACTTGACCTGCAAGGTGCCACCTTTGCACAGAAGCTTTTCTGTGCACAGAGTATATTTATTTTTTCATTTGATTTGTATCATGTATTTTCTTTGTATCGCTCACAGTGATGATTCCAGCTTTTTATATACATCTCTGTGTGCATATATATATATGTATTTTATATATGTATATATATATGTATATGTGTGACTTGCATTTCGACCAGCTGGTGGTTTAGGCAGGGCTGTGTCCTGCCAGCTACTGTGGTTCCAACCCTTGTGGTATGATTTGGGGTCTCTTAGAGGACAGGAGAGCTGTGAGGATGGGTGCTCTGAGTATCTTTTCAGAACTGGAACTCTCATCGCTCGACTGAGTCAGTGAAGTACCCCAGAAGGGTGAGAGGAGAAGGATTTCAAACAATGCCTTTTTACTGTACAAAAGTTCAGCTTTTCTCTCCTCTCTCCTGTATGTGAACCCGTGCTGGTTTGAAGGTGAACCAGTGAGAGGAATTAACCCCACACAAACACCCTGTGAGAGACTTCAAGTCAGAGTTCCAGTTCAATAGAAAGATTACAATAAATGCAATGAATACAGAAAGACTGGCTTAAAACCAGTACCAGTTAAACAGTGCTTGCAGCCCACTTGGAGTGATGGATGAGGTCTTGTTAAAAGTGATGGTCCTGGTCCTTCTCTGGATGTCCAGTGGTGGTGGTTGTGTTCGAGTCCCCAACCCCCCAGATCACAGACCCTTAAAATCTAGGCTGGAATGTTCAGTCCCTCCTCCAGGGTGGGGAGTTTCCCAATGGAATGACGGAATCCTATGAGTCCGAGGATATTTTGGGAAGTCCTTGATGGCTCATCGGCAGAGATGACCCCCCCTTAGGCTGGGTGCAGTTGTCACTTTGTGAAGACTGGGAGAACACTGCACCCAGCTCACAGCTTTTACAAACATTAACAGTTCATCAGGAATAATGCAAGATGGGTGTGGAATATAGTTAGGCTACACCCACACGGATACTTTCTCCTGCAACCACTGATAGAACCTAAATCCAACCAGTTCTAGCTCACTTCTAAAAGCCTTTTTCCTCCTGTTGCCTGCTCGATATCAGTTCTTGACTGAAGCAGGGTGCAGGTGTCATCTGTTAATTTTGACACCCACTTCTTGTGTTCTCACTGGAAGGGCAGACCCACAGCCAGCTCCTTCCTGTTGAAAAAAAAGCTCAGACCAGCCTCACCTCAGCTGCCCTCTTGTCTGTGTCTGTAGAATTCCTGACCGTGAGGGATGGTGCCCTCTCTTTGAGTGGTTTTTGTGCACTTTGCCTGTGTATGGTTAGAGCAGGGAAAGGTGTGAGGCTCATTTAAGAGTTTGGAGGGGAAGGGCTGTTTGCTGGCACTGTGAATAACTGTGGAGTCACCCAGGGGTGGGGGGAGAGCAGGGAAGAACTCAAGACTCAACAGTTCTGTTCGTACTGTAATTTCTATTGAGTGTGGAAGAATGACCTTTTGCACCTGATCTAACTGTGGACCTTACTAAATTTGATTTTGAAAAAAGAGACCTGTAAATTCTTGAGATGAAAAAAGCAGTGCTGACATCTTAAGTTCTTTAACTTCTTAGTTTGATTCATGTAACTCAGATTTTAATGTGCTTGAATATAGTAAAAAAATACACTACAGTCATAAATGGGACATTAAAACTTTTTTTAAAACCCTTTTCCCCCTAAAGGTCGGTATTCTTGTGTTTACATATGAAAATCATTTGCACCTTTACAAGGAAAACAAGTATTCTGTAAACAAATGTTTACATGTATCATTTATGCTTTTTTCTAGCATGAGTAACTTGTATAAATAGTGCTATCTTAATAAATTTCTTCTACGCCGTTCTTGGTTTGTTCCTTGGGGTGAAAGCAGTGGGAGGGGTGTTTTTCTGTGGTTTATGTGGACAAAGATGCTGGAGGGGTTTTTTTCCCCAGAGAAATCCCAATAAAAGAGGCTTAAAACTCTGCTGCTTATTGTTACCCTTCACATCACTCAGAACCAGCTTTTTCTGGAAGGAAGCATCTGTGCTATCTGGCTAAATCTTCTCTCTGCTCACTTAACTGCATTTGTCAAATAGGACAACACAAGGAAGAGGTTAAAAAAAGCTATGAAAATTTAGGTTTTTAGAGATTATTTATGCAAGTTTGTTGGAAAGAGCTGAGCATTAGTTTTAAAACTTAGCCCTAGGTGTAACATTCCTATTTTCAAACCAAATAAAGGTGCCAGTTATTTCCAGACTTTGTATTCCTTTGTCCAGTGCTCTTCTGACTCCAGATAGCAAACTTTGAAATATTTCAAAAAAGGAAACTAAAGCACCAGAAGTGATAGTTAAAGTAGCTGCTGAGCTGCCAAAACCTTCAGAAGATCACTTAGCTGCTCATTACTAGGGTAAGAGTTACCACAGACTTCAACCTTAACATGCAAAAATGATCCATCTTCAACTAGTAAAGAATCAGAAATCCAAGTGCATGTTTCATCGTTTAATTCTGGAAAAAGGTTAGAAACTAGGCATGCAGTTATGTCATGTTAGGCAGTTTTACACTGGGAAAAGAGAGGAAACTTGCATCCCTATTTAGGAGAAGGTCATAGGACACAAATCAGCTCCTGGAGATGCTGCACAAGTGAGAAGCAAGAAACTAGAGTTGGAATGTTGCTGCTTACAAAAGCATTTATTAAGTAACAAGTGGTGGCTTAGTCAGGTAAACTACAGTTGGATATAAGCTCCATGCAAGGAGATATTTAATTAGGCATAGGTGGTCTTTCCTTAAGACAAAGGATGGAAGTTATTTTATTTATAACTGTATTACAAAACATCTTAGCTGGTGCTACTTTGTGCTCCTTAAATGTCTAGCCAGACACTGGGCACTGTCCCTCTGAACCCTTGCTCCAGAAGGGAGGGTTCCAGCATCAAATTCTAGCACACAGCTCTAACCCTGAGAGCTCTCTGGCCTACAGGATTACATCCAAGATGACAAACATCACAACAAAGCCTAGTAACTAGCAAGCTTATCCACACCTCACTTTCCTATCTATTAACTTGCCTGGGAGGACCAACAGACTGACAAGTGCCTTGTGTCCAATCTCATGCCCAACTGGAATGTACATGAACATTATCACCATTACCAAGTATCCTTAACAAGCTAAAAAGGGAGTTAGAAACCTGGATATTTCTGCCCTGGATTCTAGAGCATGCACCCTTTCTCAGGTGTGCTGAACTCTGCATTTAGACTAGCCCAAGAGTAGTCACAGTTTAGCCAAGGCCTGTGTGGCTTAGGCTGTCCAGTGAAAACTAACTTTGAAGCACAGAAATAAATACCTGTCAGCAAGTTGCATCAATAATTTGCAGTGTTTGTCTCTGAGCTGATATCTGCACATAAATGAAATGAGTGACTGAGAAAAAAAAGCTGCTCAGGAAGCTGGCACAAGTCTGCATTGCAACCCTTGTTCAGGGCCAAATGTCTGCTTGACTTTGCTGTGCACGGCATGGAGTTACACAGCCAAGTGCTGTTGTTACAGTCCAACTGCAGACAGCCAGAATGAGAGGAAAGAAGATGCTGCAGGAGTCAATTTCCTGTTGGTTTCTCAGCACAGACTGTCCAAACAGAAAGGCTCTTTAGTATCAAGAGCTACTGAAATGGCTCTCACTGTATCTGAGAGATTGCAAGTTCAGTCAGTAGCATCAGCACTCCAGGCAGGTATTGGCTGTGTAGAATCTGCAAGAAAGAGAAGAAAGCCTGTCAGAGCAGCAATTGCAGTTGCCAGATTCCCACACCCTCAAGCCCTGGTTGGAAGGAAACTACCAAGTGTTCTGTGTGTTTATTCAGCTGCTCTGTTGTTGCTTTTCAGGTACTTACACTTTTCCCATAATGAATATATATGACTTGAACTCTATCCCATTATGAAAAGCCATAACTGAATTTACACAACACACATTCCACAAGAGCACCCTTCAGAAAGCCTGAGATGTCACTGTGTACTTACCTGCAACAGAGAAAGTTGTTTCAGATAGTTTTAAGCTATTACAGATAAAAACAAGCAATGTACAAGCAATGCAAAAGCATCATAGGGTAAATTTAAACAACTGCATTTACACAAGCTGTTCTTTAACTCAGAATAAAATATTGTATTGTTTGAAGGATTAATGGTCCATGGTTTGAAGGATATTAGAGATACCTCTGTAGAAAGACCAGCACCTTTATGAAAAGGGTTACAAGTGAAGGAGTCTTCACTTGTAATAACTACAGTACTAGAAAGTTAGTGCACTTTTTTAGTTTGGGATCTTTTTATGTCCAAAAGAAGTTTTTTATAGCCTGAAACTTTCCTTTTTATATAAACATTTTTTATATATTTTTTTATATTTTTATATAAGATTTCCCTATATTTTATATTAACATACCTCAGCAAATACACCTATTTCTGGCCCCAGGCAGTAGCTTCTGCTGCAACAGAGTAGTAAAATACTGTACTGGCAGCTGCCTCAAGTCCAGAGCTAAGTATGACTAGTAAAAGCTGAGGGTTTACAAATTCCTTGTAGGAAATAATGCAAAATAAACATGAAACCTTCAGGTACAGCTATTTTATTGGCCAGCATAAGGACAACCTGCTCCTTGTGGCCTCACCTTTACAATCCCATCACAGTGTGCCGAGGCAACCGCTGTGGAAACCTTCACCAGCTTTGTAGCTGACAAGTGGATCTTGAAGTGCCTGTGGAAGTGGGCATAAAGGCAGTCCATGAACACATCCACCTCCTCCTGGGTGATCTCTCCCGGCGTTTTTTGCACCGTGTCCCACAGAGCTTTGGCATCCTCTGGGTGGATGGCATACGAAATATCCAGGGGCTGGGACAGGCAGGGCACGGAGAAGACGAGTTCCACGGCAGAGGCAGCTCTGTCCAGCTTGCAGCCAGCCCACATGGCCACCATCCAGCTGAGGTTCAGGGGGCTGATGGCCAGGCGGCGGAAACAGCAGTCAAAAGTCTTCTGGAACCAGCTTCCAACCAAGGTCGTGTAGCTCTCAGCCCCGTGGCTCAGGAACAGGGGCAGGCAGGTGAAGTCCTCCAGCACATTCTCGGAAAAGTCATCTCCAAACATGGAGCAGAACCAGCCCGACCACACCAGCTTGTCTTCAGAGTTCCTGGAGGAAGCTTGTGACCTTGAAGAGAGCTGGGATGGGGAGAAGAAGCATTTCAATGCTGCAGAGCAAGTATGGCTTTTTTTTTCTGTCAGCTAAAAATAGATTTTGATTTAAAAGTTTTAAGTGTTTGGTAGAAGTGGGGGTTTTTCCCTAGGATCTTGCATGCAATGCTGTTTTCTGTCAAACACATACAGTCATTTAGTCTATCCATTACATCTCTAAGAGTTGAATGCAATTCTGTTGAAAACAGCAGAAAAAGCACTTTTAACTTTCAGTTAAAACGTTTAAATTTTTCAGTCCTGAGATTTGAGTTTATGCTGCTTAACTCCAATGGTACATCCTACAACCACTGCCACAATGAACTTGATATTTCAGTAGCAAAGCCTTTCAGAAATATTAATTAGACCTGAGCTCTGGCCAGGAAATGGGATTATGCCATCTTTATCCAGGAAGATAAATAACCCATCCAAGTCCTGGCAGTAAATTGGCTGCTGAACTAAAACATCAGAGATTGCTCTGTATAGTCAAACTCTGGTGCTGTTAAAAAGTTGAACTCAAACTGAATGCATTGCTTAGGGGATCACAGAATCAATTAGGCTGAAAAAGACCTCTGAGGTCATCAAGTCCAGCCTGTGACCAAACACTGTCATTAGACCAGAGTTTTACAGTGTCACATCCAGCCTTTCCTTAAGGAAAGGTGACTTCACCATATCCCAAGGCAGCCAGTTCCAATGTGAAATCATCCTTTTTGTGGATTAGAAATTATTCCTGATGTCCAACCTAAACCTCCACACAGCTTAGGACTATAAACATTCCGTTCCAGTTAAAACCAGACACAATTCAGTTCCATTAAATCACAGTGGATACTCCAGCACTTACTCCACACAGCTAGGGTTTAATTTCGGGGTTTTCTCTCAACACACAGCATCTCACCACAGCAAAACCAGCCCCCTCACCTGCACCAGGAGGGCAGCCTGGTCCAGCTCGCTGCCCCTGAGGTCGGCAAGGCTGGTCAGGGCCACCTTGATGTCCAGCTCGACGCCCACCTCCACCGCCAGGCCCTTCCTCTTCTCGGCGGCGATGAAGGCGCTGAGCAGCCGCGCGTACTCCGTGAGGCGGGCGCGATGGAAGCGGAACAGGGGCGTCACGCTGTACAGCGTCCAGGCTTTTCGCAGCAGGAACGCTATTTTCTGCGCATCGACGCTTTCCTAGGTGCAAGCAGATTCAAAGGAATAAGCTTAAAGCCCGCTCTTCCCGCGCGGCGACAGCGCGTCTGAGGGGGCAAGGAGGGGACAGCGGGGCGCCGCCGCGCCGGCCCCGCCTTACCTGAGAGCACAGCGCCGGCGCGATGAGGC